AACTCAGTTTGAGAAAGTAGATAAAAACTTAGAACTAATTCACCACACCCACCCAAAAATCTACTATATCATATTTTAACATATTTTAGCAGAGCAATCCTAATGGTAATTTAGAATAGTCCAATAAACCCAATGCCTGTCCGATGACAGTAGACCAACATTTCAAGAAAGAAAAGCATTCCATGTTCTTCCTGTTGGAAGAAATTTAGATTACCAAGGCTATTTACACCTCATTTGGTATCAGGGAGGTAGAAGAAGGCTAGGAAAGGTGATAACACCACAGAGCCATTAGACTCTCTACACAATGCCACCAAAATAGTTTCTGAGGCCTTCCAACATTCAAATCAGAAAATTTCAACCAAAGAGGGTGTTAAGGAAGAAGGAGGAGAAATCAGATTTCTTTCTTTGAGGCTGGAGCCTTGTCTTTAACCTCAAAGGGGGAAATTCAGTGATAGTCTCTGTCACTTCTCATGCTCATAAGATTGCAGCCTAAAGAAGTTTAATTGAATAATTTATACATGTTGAATGCAAGCTTGGAAAAATACTAAGTATTTGGCTTGTATTTCTATTTATTATAAAACATTTGCATTAGCAGGAAGAGCAATAGCAAGCAATGTTCATAGCTTCATCTTCCCAGTTTGTTAATTGTTTACAAGGTATTTTAGTTAGTAAACTATATTTCAGGAACAGTTATAATACAGAGACTTTGAGTATATGATCTGTGCATGATTCTACTTAGGTTTTCTGAAAACTTTGTTCAGGAGGGGCCTTTGTTAATTCTCCCTCCCTCTTTTCACCAGGTTTCAGCTCTTCTGGATTGGGCACAAAAGCAGTTTCAAGGAACAACATTAGAAACACTTGGCCAGTCCTAATAATATTTTTTTAAAACTCTGGTATCAAATTCCCAGGTTTTTTGAACTTCAGTTTTTAAAGAGTAGGACTTGGGGGGGGGGGGTCGGCATATTTCTTTGAATTGAGGGATGGCCTGTTTCTCTGTCTTAGGAGAGAGGCTAAAGGTTCAGTGTTAGAAGGAATTCAGCAGAATGTCTGCAGTACCCAAGAAGCAGTTCCTCTTCTGTGTCAGCATTTTTATGGATACTTGTGTCTCTTAGTGTCACACGCATGATATTTCATAATCTGATTGGCCATTATGTTTTAGATGTCATGCCCTCTCCCCCAAATTTCATTGGCCACTACTTTGCATTCTTATTGGCAATCATATTATTCTTATTTATTATTATATGTCATGGGTCTTTAAGTTAACAGGCTTATTTTATATTATGATATAATTAATTGTAATATATTATTTTATCAATTGTTGTTTTATTCTATTCTTTTATTCTATGACTTATTGCACTTAGGTATAAGCACATAATAAACTGCTACTAATAGTAGTGGATAGGAGATTCAGTTAAGGACAACCATCATAGAATCTAAGGGTCAAATTCCACTCCCTGCTTCATGTAAAAATGCAGATTAAAGCAACCCCAACAGATGGCTATTATTCCATATTCTGAACTCTAGAGTAATAGAGAGCAAGTTGTGTCCTTCTATGTGACATCCTTTGGGCTATCTGAAGAGTGCTATCATATCCCCTCTGATAATCTCCTATCCTCTTCTCAAGGCTAAACATACTCCATTCCTTCAGTCTCTCACTGTAAGATTGGTGTATCCAATCTCCTGTTGATTCTCATTAGCCTTCCTTGCACATGTTCCAATTTCTCTGAACTTTTTTTATGAGTGGTGCTCAAAATGGACACAATACTTGAAGCACAAATCAGTCTTCAATGTTTAATTTGGATTTCTGCACTGCTGAGGGGGTTAAACTCAGTGGCCTACAGGTGTGAAGTGCCACTTACAAAACAATTTCAAAAAAGATCCCCTTGAATGAACAGAAGTGTTTTTGACTGGTAATTAGATCCTTTTTTATTCATATATGTAAATAAAAGAAAACCAAGTACAGGTAGTCCTTGTTTAGCAATAATAATTGGTTCCAGCGAACTGGTCACTGTGAACCATGTGGCTGAGAGGGGGGGCTGTGAAGACTGCTGGTTGCTTCTCATTTAGATAAAGTTGTCTTGTGCAGCAATGCCAGTGTTACTCTCATTCTGGTGTGCATTGTTGTCAGGTGCAGAAATTTGAATGTGAGTGCAGGCATTGGTCAGCAAATGATTGTTTTATTAATGTTTACTACTGTTTATTACTGTTGTATTTGCAAAGGGTCACTATCCAAGGCAGTTTCTAAAGGAGGACTACCTGAAATGGATTAGGAGAGAGAACAATAAGGGTTGGAGTGTAACTCTGTGCCACCTACTTTGCAAGATTAATAGGGATGAAAATGTTTTCTAGGAGAATACGGGAGCGTGACAGAAATGGTGCTGCATGCAAAACTAGATCAGATATTCCACTCATGACCGCTGAACTGCTTTGCTATTTCAAATCAAATGGAGAAATTGTCTGAAATGAAAAGCTTTTAAAAAAAGCTTGAGATGCTTTTGAAAAGCTTGAGAGGCTTTTGAGATGCTTGAAATCACAGGGCCATGTTTTCATTGTGCTCTGTAAACAGAATCTTTTGACAGCCTGATTGTTTTACCTCCATTAAAAATAAGTAAGAAATACCATTAGAGAGAGGGACAATCATTATTTGAAAGAGCAGTATAGGATTAGGAATGACTACATAGACTGTTTTACCATCCATTGAAAAGTTTAATTATTTCCAGTTAGAAAAAAATAGTTTTTAATCCATTTATAATCACATTGAAATTCCTGGGATAGGAATGAATGTTTAGGATCTGTAGGTATGATTATGCATATATAGTTTATGAGGAAGTTCTAATACTCATTTTAGTACATTCTGTAGTCTCTTTTGCTATGACATGGGAATATTTCAGCAAAGTATTTCAACCTAATAGAGTTGATTTAACCTGGAGAAGCCTTGAAACTTATCATACATACAAAAGATTCATCAGATGGGATCTATAGTTGAAAGTGCATTATTAATATTAGAATAGAACCTGGTTAGTAATTCAATAGTAACAGGAAATAATAATACAGGGCAATTATCACTCTTGCCTTTCTCCCTTTTTGGCATTCAAGGGGGCGGGGAGGGAGTCTATTTTGTTTGCATGGGTATAATGACCCTTGATCACCTTACAACTAGTGAGTTACTTTCAGGAATGTTCCTCAAAACACCCCCTTTAACAACAGGTCCATAAAAATCACTCATAAAAGATGCAGACTTAGAAGTATAATTGCAAAACTGTGCCATATTCAAGAAATTTGTTATAAAACCAGAAAGTTGCCAATGGCAGACACCTGCCGCATCAGTTGAAACATTATCTGTTAGAAATTAATTTATCCTCATAAACCAAAATATATGTGGAAATTTATCAAATTCTTGATAAAATAAAGCCATGACAGTTTACAAATGCATATTCTATAATTCCAGGTTTTCTTTAATAGTATGTTATTGAAAATTTCCAGTTGAAAATGTGTTAATTTTCACTGGTGTAACATTTCCAAACTTGTAATCTATCTTGGGTTGGTCAAGTTAACTTTTTAGGAATTAAATAAGTACTTGAACAGCTAAGAAAGTTTGAAAGTGCTGAAACCTTTTGAATCTTGCCTTCTGAGAAATCAGATTGTAGGTAGGAGTTTTGATTTTTGTAAAAGAAGTTCTTTCAATCATCAAGTAATCATCCCTCTAGTTTATTTTTAATACAGGCTAAAGGCATTGCTATTCCTCTTTTTAATTAGACATTAGCTAATATCTTAGAGTTTTTCTTTCCCTGAAGATGTATAAATGAGCCAATCCAAATAAGTTATAGGTGTCTGTACGTTGTCCAGTTCTAAACCCACAAGTTCTGCTCTTTTCATGAATAGCAATTCATACGCTGCTCACACCCATATCTGCAGCAGTCTTTTTATGCTGTATCACAAGATCTTTTTTTCTTTCAAGAATGTCTCTAGCCTATTTTAATTTGCTTTCTGAGAGGTTGGTTAAATTTGTTTTTGTTTTTTTTAAACTTTTTTGTAAAATTAATCAACAAAGCATCACTTTTAACATGTTCCATAGAATACGTG